TTTGATACCTGTATCGATTACCTAATTCGAAATGCGCTTGCAAATTAAATGGTGAACAATTGAAAGTTTTCGTGGCATATCCGTGGTAGTGACAATAAGTTTGCATAATAAAAAAAAGAATATTTACATTAATTAATATATTCTTTGGGAGACTTGAAAAGCTTTTCTCCTCCGTAGATATTAATTCATTAATAAATAGGTATTGCAAAACATATTTGAGTTTTGCATTTGTGAAATATGATGTAGCGCCATGTTGTTCTTTTAAAATTGACATAATTTATAAATATATACTAAAATGGTAACTGATCTGCGGTGACTAAGTACCAACCTACGCTTTTATTTAGTGAATGCTTACAAAGTTACAACATGTACCGCTTACGCAGATATTTTATGACCATATTGTTACTCAACTTGATTAATTAAAATAAACGAATAAGGTCCAAACAGTTTGATATTTTTTCTCAAAGAAAGAGTTAAGTATTTATTTTTCTTCTCTTTGGAAACCCAACATGTACTAATAGCTAATTTTAGTACCTTTTTATTTGATTTCCATAGGCAAAGGGATTATGTCGTCTGAATATTGTTCTTTTGTTTTAAATATGGTGTTTAACTTTTCTATTATAAAAAATAAATTCTGTTTATACTGGATATACCCTTCATCACAATAAATAAAAATTCCTTACGCAATCGTAAGACATAACAATTTCTTAGATTTCGTATTCCGTTAATGAGTCAAAATTAGCTCCAGTGACATAGTTAGAACTAATAATCAAGTCTAGCCATTAGTACGAACCCGTAATCAACACTAATAAATCCACTACATCGTAAACAAGCCCACACATCGCCTTGCAACAGACAGACTGACAGACACACGTCTATATTGTCTATATTAAGGGTAAGGCTAAGGATTACCATATCTATCGTGGGCAATGCATTCTAGGTCGAGTAGCAACGCCATATTCAGCCCTGCGAGCGAACTATGGCTAATCACTTCATTTATTTACTACTAGCGGGAAGGCTGCATGTACATATGCATGTATAACTTTAAAATAAAAGAAAAATACTGTGTTTCTTCATACTGTTAAGATAAACACAGTTTATAAGCAATTCTTCAATTTGTGTGAAATTAAAAAAAATAATAATTTACGTTTAACAAACAAATCACTTTGACAAAAGATCAAAGAAGAAAATAATCATTTATGTACTTGAAATATGAAGTCAGAACATCAATTATTTATTAATAGTAGATTTAAACCTTAATATTGCATTTCGCTTGTGACTTTTTTGTAGAGCAATTACACACGCGTAGAAGCGTATAAATGGATGCAACTTTAGTACCCATCATGCATCCAGTGTGCAAGGTTGATATCAGTTATAATAGGTAAGATTTGGTTGCTTGTTTGCACTGAATAGGCTCCGAAACACTCGACCAATTTTAATAATTCTTTCACCTAAGGGAAACTCCATCATATGCGAGCAAAGTTGCGGGAAAACAGCTATTATAAAAATACTAGTGGCCGCCAGCGACTTCGTCTGCGTTTTCCATTATTTCTTCGCTCCTAATAGTTGCAGCGTGATGTTATATAGCCTAAAGCCTTACTCGATAAATGGTCTATTCAACACAAAGAATTTTTCAATTCGAACCAGTAGTTCCTGAGATTAGCACGTTCAAACAAACAAACTCTTCAGCATTATAATATTAGTATAGATTTACATTGGATATGCATCAAGCTTTAACGTTATCATACTTTTATCGGGGTGTGCGGCGTTTTTAAATTAAATCGTTTTGCTTTTTTCAGTTCATAAAATATGCGTTTGCGTTTTGAAGGGAAACCAGTGCATTCATAAAATAGGATTGTTAGTCATTTGAATCGGGATGACATCTGTTTGTGGTTACAGAGAACTAGTGTGACATCATTTAATTATATAAATAAATGGCATTAAATGTAAAGGATAAACTACGCGTTCTTGACCCTTTTTAATTAGATCAGTAATTTACAAGTATTAGCAGGAAAAAATTTCATATTTCTTAGTATTTACGAATTTGTTTATTAAAGAATAAAATATAAGAATGAAAATTAAATCCAAAATTATATTTTAACTGGTATTAAAAACACACGTGTGGACATATGTTTGTTGTGTGATCTTAGATCATAAATAACACTATAAATTTCAGAAACACTAATGATAGACTAATAAATAAAAAAAGGCATCAAGTATGTAATTCACACGTTTCCTTTAGGTTTAATAATTCTCATTCAAATCAATAAGAAAAAAGATTCAAACGGGCGATCGAAAACCATAGAGTACCATAGATACTACGTTTGAAATTAATTTGTATATTTTGCATTAATTAAGTTATTTTTCACATTAAAATATTGATCCTTACTGTTTCTTGTTTGTTACAGGTAAATAAATATATATCGTAACAGAACTAGAGGACAAGAGGACAACCATTCATCAGGAAATATTATTTTTTTATTTTTTTTCGAGCTTTTATATTGTGTACGTGATGTGTGTTGTCAAAATAAATTAATTCTAATTCTAAACAAAGAATATAAAGTAAAAAAACTCGTGAATTACTAATGAAAAAGACTTTCCAATTTGACTTCCGTGCATCGAAGTTTTATTTCTCCTTCAATAGTGAAATATTCTTCTCAAATTTTATTCAGTTATTAATCTATCATTTTTAATAATAGTTTAGGATATATAACGATTTAAAGTTGTTAAACAAAACATTCTCGCAAATTTTCTTATTTATGGATTTAAGATTATAGATAGATCAAATTTTACCAATCAAATCTTCCCAAGGGGCCCCGACTATGAGTCGTTCTGTTCTGTATTACTTAACAGAATTCTAAACTACTGGGCTTGTTTTTTCTTATTAGTTTTTGTTTAAGTTAATTTCTTCATGTATTTAAAAAAAATCAAGTTTTTTCAAGTTTGGCAAGAAGAACGGGCGAAAGAAACTATATTTTTCGTAAGGGTGTATAGCTGTGTAGAAATAAAAATAGTAGTGCAGTAGTGTTATCTATCAAAACTAATAGCACAGTGACAAAAGGCAAAACGAGACAACAGTCCAGTCGGTGAGGTATATGATGGCATATTGATCTAAATCGATAGTCAAAAACTGATTTTTAATCCAAAACAAATGAAAGTCTTCTTGCCCATCGGCTTGGGTCCTTTTAAAATGGAGTGAAGAGCCTTTAACAAACACATCGGCAAGATAGTGACTGTTAGGAGTAGCTTCGACTTCTGGCAGCTATTATAGTATTATTGGTCTGCAATAGCATTTTGTGTCAAGTGCAATGCAGTAATTTTGTCGTGTCATATAAAAATATTGCTGCCCCTAAAAAGTGACTCACCGAATATTCCAGTGTAAATACAATAAGTGCACTTAATAAAATGCTCGTAATATTTGAGCAGTGTATTTTTTTTTTGCCATGAAGAAAATTTGTCATCCTACTTTGATTTAAAAAAAAATAGGAGCTAAATTGAGCATACGATACAAAGATTGTTGTACACAGTCATTTGAAAAATTCTTGGATGATCTGGGTAATTTAAACTATTGAGCAATGAGGAGAAAGATTTTATCAGGATATTAGGAAAATGCAAGAAAATTATCAAGGTCGATGGTACAGAAACACGATGGCAATTGGCTGACTTTGCTGCTGAAGAGATTTTTCTGAAGAACGCCGTGATAGAAAAGTGTAGATGTTTTATATTCACTTCAGTCAACTGCATAATTCTTTTGTTTTTATGATTATTATAACAGAGCAAATTTCTGAAATTTTTAGTTCTTATTTCTCAGTAACATTTAAGTAATCAATTTTTTTCTAGTCTTTAGCACTTAACATAATATAGTCTTATTAACTAGCTATTTTACGCGACTTCGCCCGTGTATGATGTAGTTTCCCGCAGATGAAAACATTTTTATGACCGGATCAGAATTCCGAATATCTACGAACAAAGTTAGAAACTTTGCTGCTTTATAATATTAATATAGTTTGTAGATGACCGTTCTATAATTTCATATCAGTGAAAATAGGTGTCTGATGAAGCCAAGAATTCTCTCGAAAAACTCTCCCGATGTCGGATCTCGATATAGCTTTGACGTTATTGATTTTTTCTGGAGCCTAGCTAGACAAGACGAGACAATGAAAAAATAGGTGCTATTTTATCGTCCCAAACCAGGAAGATTTTCTATTTTTGCCTATTTCCGACTTTGAATCTAAGAATCTAGGTTCCCTTTGCATTTTTTAATCCCCGACGCAAAAACGACGGGATGTTATTTATTACTTCAAAAAGAGCCTTTCATCCGATTTTATTAAATCGGTTATTGATTTTTTCTGGAGCCTAGCTAGACAAGACGAGACAATGAAAAAATAGGTGCTATTTTATCGTCCCAAACCAGGAAGATTTTCTATTTTTGCCTATTTCCGACTTTGAATCTAGGAATCTAGGTTCCCTTTGCATTTTTTAATCCCCGACGCAAAAACGACGGGATGTTATTTATTACTTCAAAAAGAGCCTTTCATCCGATTTTATTAAATCGGTTCTTGTTTTTATATTATTTCACGATATCTCTTTCAATTACGAGTGATCAGATATTGTTGATTAGTTTTTTTAAGATTTGTAGAACTAACTAAAAAATCCTTGATGATTGACTTAAAAGGCAAAGTTTTTTATAACCTGAAAATTTTTCGTGTGCTCCTTTATCATTAAAATATAATTACTTAAACTTTTATTGAAAAATTAATCCCAGTTTTTAATGGAATCGGGTAATATCTTGTGGTATTCCATCACTGCAACTGCTAGATATAGATTGTTTTATTTTTCTGTGCTTTCCTTTAATGTATTTTGAAAATGCAACAATCTTATCATGTGACTAATATTATTATTTCTTACATTATGATAGGTTTCGATAAACTTCCTTTATCGTGATAAGATAGTTATTGTCAAATTCTGATAAGTGAACTCGTGTTGTTTATTTAATGGTCTTGTAATGTAATTAGGTCCAATTGGATTATGGCAACTGGCATCATAAGGATTTCCTTTCCTTTTTCGAAATTTGAACTTGTTATTCTTTGCAGTTGCTAAATATCTGGAATGTCATTCGTGCTTTGTTTTTTGTTTCGTGCGAAGGAATGACCTTCAAAGAGATAGCGTCTATCGAATTTGAAATGAGAATTCTCTTGGCGCATGAGCACAACATTTTTTGCTACCTACTCAGCGCTGACTCACGTATGCACACAGTGGGCAGCCACAGCCACCATGTTCGCCTTTATCCATTCAAGCCTCTTGCCTCCGTTCACCACACTCACATCAACCGGCGCGCACACAAACGCCACAAGCCAGTTTGACAGTTCTCGCTAGTCGACTCGAATCAGTTGGCCGGTGCACGGCGTAGCGGCACGAACGTTCCCGCTGCCATTTTTTTTGTATTCCATCGCGCAATCTATTAAAAATAAACCGTAAGTGGCCAGTGAAATAGTGTGTGAATGTTCTTTTGGAGGTTCGATTTTTATATCCGGAATGCGAAGGAGTTTGATCTCTTCATCCGTAAAGTTTGGATTTCGGTATTTTCCAACGGTTTTGTTTTTTGTTTTGAGGTTATAATACGTATTCGCCGTCTTAGTTGAGATGTTTTTTCGACGCGGCTTCATTGTGACTGTATAACGTCACAGTCTATGATGTAAATTGCAAAATAATTGATCAAATATTTACAACGCTTGTGTCGCCACGGCGTTAGTATATTTTATTTTTAAAATGGTTCATCTATGTGGGTTACGGTTAACGTACGATGAAGAATTGGGTTAGTATTGTTAGCCAAAAGACTTCAACGCGAACTGATATATTTTTTTTCATCTTAATGTGTCAAACAAAATCATCTTATAAGTATTATTGGGTATTTTGAAGGCTGGATTAGTGACTTTTATGATTGATGATAAAACAAACTATGTAGTCATATAGTGATGTCATTATTCGCTATACATAAATGTCATGAAAAACAAAACAATACCTATACCGTAGTGTTTGTAATGTCTTGTTTTATTGTTTTCAAATTCGTCATCCAGTTTACATACCTATTAGTTAATTATATTGTCATATATTTTCCTATTTATTTTAACGGTTGTAACTGTGACACTTTTTAAGCAAAGAATTTGTTTAAAGACTTATTTTTACCCGCGCCTTTTTCGCGTGGTTTATTGATATTAAGGAAATATATACATGTAGATCCATTTTTGGGGCTTCGAACTGTATCCATATATAATTTTATTGAAATGGGCCTAGCTGTTTGCTTGTTAAAGCGAAACGAATAAGTTTAGAAAAGCGTAATCAAAAGATTGTTATCTAATACAAATAATGCCTTGTATAGATAATATAAAAATAAATATAAGTAGGTACATAGATAGATATACTTTATTGTAAAGTAATTTTGTTATAATCATATAATGAATGAAATATTAACAAAAAATAAATAAAAAAGTTCCTACTCGGAGGTAAAAAATAAAGATAAAATGTAGTATAAAAAACTTGAGTAAAATTGAGTAAATTTTCAATGTAGTATAAAAAACTTGTCTACTCAATTTTCAATAAAAACTTGTAAGTTAAGAACATATTTATTCCCGTATACAGTCATTTTTATTTACGTAAACAATACAGTTTGGTCGTTTTATTAATTTGTATGATATCACTCACACTAAGACTGGTTCAACGTATCTTTTTTTTGTTTATCTACTAAATGATAAGGTCACGTTTTTTATAGACATATGCATTACCTAAATATATTGTAGGTAAATACAATCACGCGAGCTGAAAATATGTTCGCGTATTTTTCACAAGTTTTATTCTTTAACAATTTTAATCAGGGTTCGCTGTTAAATATCAACGGATATAATATTTATTGTTAGTTTGAGGATTGAGTTATTCAGTCTCAGCTAGAAAATTAACCAACCGACGTTAGCAACATTGCCTCGAAGTAGCAGTTACGGGTTTTCCCCTATACTTTACTGGAAATCCTTGCAAGCATACTACACTTTAATTATTACATATTAAATAAAGCCACTGGCAGCTCAAAAATCGCAGCTTTTCATATGCATATATCTGATATATATCCGATAAATATCAAATATCGGATATTTTGGTATTTATTAAAACTATCAGATTTGTGCGAACCCCGATTTTAATAGATAATGTCAATGTTTATTTTAAATTTAGAATCATGTTTCTTTAGTGGAAATAAAAAATAAAAAGTAAAGGAGTCTATGCGTTATGCCAATAAACCGTTATATTTTAAGGTCATTCCGAGAGTTTGATTTCCATAACTTTGTGGATATTCTGAGAAAATGTCTAGAAATGTAATCGAATTCTTGTGTTTGTCTGCTATAAAGTGACAAAAGAAAAAATAAAGTGTCAGTTTATTTCATTGAATAATTTATTGTATTGAATATTTTTTCTGAATTTATTGTCATAATTATCTACTTTTTAATTTCTGTAAACGTTCACTATATGCAGTTATTTCTTGCTAATGTTATCAACAAACACAAAATTATAATCATTTAACTGATTAAAATAACACAGATTATGCATATTTTATCAATAAACTTTCATGCTATCATAATAAAGGCAGAATGACGCAACGATATTGATATGATAATACTTGGCATATTTCTATTTTGATAAAAAAATAAAAGCAGTTTCTATACATATAAGTTTAGTTCATGTTTAGCGATGTGTGATGTAGTTAAATTATAAATAAACTTCAATAATAATAAATATTTTAAATAAATAATAAATTAAATAATAATAAATATTTTAAGTTTGCTAATACCACGTTAAAAGGAAGCTATTATTTAAATCATGAATAGGTAAAGTTACACAAAAAAAAAAAGAAAAACTACGACATATGAAGATAACAGAGACATTTCACGCTATAAATCGCGAGAAAACAGCTAGTCTTAATACATATTTAATAAATATTAAATTTCATTTCTAAATTAAGTGAAACTATCTATATTTTAAGTAATAATTATTGAAAATTTTGCGTTTTACAATGCTATCTTGATATTTATCTTAAAAATGCTGAAATAAAAGCTGTCTCATGTACCAGACTTCTAGCTTCCCATAAAGCTACCGTCAATCTTATAAAAAGTATAAAGAATATTCAAGTTCTGACAGCTCAGTGTAATAATTGCACAGAATTTTTCAAACCGAAAAATATCGATGCAAGTTCATTTGTAACAAGAAAGGTCCGTGGTCAATAACCTTAAGACGAGGAAATTCAAAACATGCTAATTAAATCTATTGTTTGCCGATATCGACGCCTGTCACGTCCGATTGGAAGTGGTGGTAAAATTAAAACTTTTTCTCATACAGTTTTTGGCGCCATTTTACGCTCCTAAAGGCTTATTTCGAGCGACAGAAGTTCGATGGCGCAATGATTAGCATTTTTATTCCTCTGGGATATAGGTCCGGTCATAGGATTGGTGACCTGACATTAATTATCTCTAGCTCATCCTTGCTTCGGAAGATACATCAAGACGTTGGTCTCGGTTGCATCTACAGTCGTTGACATCCACCAATTCACATTGGGCCCGTGTAGTGGTCCATTCTCCCTATTCGATTCAAACTCATTACATTCAAAATAAAAGCCTGTGACCTAGCAGTGGGCACATTAGAAGGATAATAATAAATGGCTCTCTAACAACGATCCTTCTGAATTACTAATGCTCTCCAGAAATGAAATTTTTGGTTACCGATCCCATGACTGACCTTTGCGAATGTCGCTTAACCTCCGTATAAAACCGAATGTTACCACTGCGCCATCATGTGCTTCTCAGTTACACAATAGTTAAATAAATAGTTTATATTAAATCCAAATCTACACTAAGCCTGACTAATATTGTACCTATATTTCTTAACAGTTTAATACTAAAGGAATATATTTAATAACGTTGTCTTTCCTAGAGGAAGGACGGTTTCAAGAGAAATAAAAATAACCCTTAACGATTTTAGAATAAGATTCTACACCCATGTACATTACACATGTGCAATCAAGAAAGTTGACGTTAGAGAAAAGTTTCCCACATCATAAGGTTGAAAACAAAAACCGAGAGTTTAGCAATAGGCCGCGTATTATTGCTGACAGTGTTATAAATTTTTCAAAAGATAATGATTTACAATATCATACTCTTCTGTAAACTTAATGAAATAAACTATAATCTTCTTCACTTATAATTTTTCAACCCGTTTGTCAGTCAGAAACAATAGCATTCAAACGAAAAATAAACGAAATTCATGTGATTTAGTGTGTATAGAATGAAGTAGATCAAGAAAAAAAAATAACTTTGTATTATAACTTCATTTTTAAGTATTTTTTTATTTGTTCAGTGGCTCATAAAATTCCCCTTCTAGTACTGCCAGAATAGAGTGACTCAGCTTTGTTAGGTGTTTAATAGTCATCTATTAAACATATTAGGACTCGGATAGAAAATAGTTTTTAAAATTCAAAAGTAATGTCCGATTGAATGACAGTAAATGAGATGGTAACAAAAAACAAACAAACATTGACCTGTCAAATAAAACTCCTTAGCCAAAATTACAGTCAGCAAAAATAACGATGTATACATCGGGCCATAGACTAAAGAACTTAATAGTGAAGCTTGTAGATAAATGCTAGTATTTTCTTGACTTCGTAACAATATATACTTTTAACAAAATGTCTCTTGTTAAAATTTTATTGAATTCACAATGGTAATTGAGTCCTAAAATTATTTTTGAAACATTTTTATCAGAAATAAAAATCATTTCCTTTCATTTTAAATATTTATATATCACTACAAATATTCGTTACTTAAAATAAGGAATAATTGCACTGAATTCAAATGCCTTACTAAAGACTAAATATTCTATTATTGTTAATAGAGTAACATTATGTCTATGGTCCTAAACGGTACCGATTATCAATACTATCGACAATCATAGAATAGAAGACTGTTTATGTTGAAGCTTTCATTGCCCCAAGCTATATATACCGCAATGTACCACACGAAGAGAAGCAAAACGGTGGTTCCCAAAGGTGAAAGGTGTTCATGCACAGAAAGGAAATGCGTACGACATATTATGGTAGGAAGAGAAAAAACGTCGTATACATAATTTAATTGACCCCAATGTGGTTAAGTTGTCAGAAATAAATCCGAAGCGATATAGATTTACAAAATCACATTTACAAAAGATAGATTTTATATACATTTAAGAGTTCTTCAAGGATATGTTTTAAGTCCTCTACTATATTTTAAATTGACATTTTAAAATATTTGCAAGTTATAAACGATAGCAGTAACCAATTAAAAGCAAAAGATAAGATATACCGAATCGATAATTCTGTAATGTTAAGATTTGTTTTACATTCTCAGCTGATTTAAATTAGTCATGGCACAAGAAAGTCATTAGAATCAAGTACTCTCAAACG